ATCAATACCCATCCCTTCAAATTCAACCTTGTCCTCAAGGTTGTAAACTTCTTGCATAGTCTGCCAAGCTTCCCATGATGCCTCCTCGGGTGCTAAACCAGTCCATTGCACCAGAACTTGTTGCTGAGGGCTGCCATCAACTGTAACGATCCTCTTATCCAAGATAACCAGAGGAGTGAGTATAGGGTTATTCCCCAAAGAATCAGCAGGGAGCTGTCCACTCTCAGCAGGTAGTGGACCAACGTGAGGTTTCAAAAGCGAACAATGGAAAACATCGTGAATCTTTGAATATGAAGGGAGCTCTAATTTATAAGCTACGGGTCCAATGCGAGCGAGCACACGAAAGGGACCATAATACCTCTTATGCAGCTTATTGTACTTGAGACCCGAAAGAGAGATCTGTCGATATGGCTGCAGTTTGACATATACCCAGGAATCTACTGCATAAACAACATCTCTACGTTTACCATCTGCAATGGACTTCATGGTAAACTGAGCTTTAGTCAAATTCTTCTTAAAAAGGTCTAGGATAGCTTCTCGTGAGCTCAACAACTCATCGGAAGCAGCCAAATCAGACGTGCCGGCCACGTAAGAGGGAATAGAGGGGGGTGGCTTACCATAAACCACCTCATAGGGTGTCAGGCCAGCAGCGGAATGGAAAGAGGTATTATAGTGCAGTTCTGCCCAAGGAAGGAATCTATGCCAAAGAGAGGGTTTGTGGTGAACAAATGCTCTTAAATATTGCTCGATTGTGCGATTGGTAACCTCCGTTTGGCCATCCGTTTGAGGATGGTAAGACGAACTCATGCGAAGAAGAGTGCCACTGAACTTAAACAGCTCAGTCCAAAATTTGCTAATAAACACCGGATCTCTATCCGAAACAATGCTCCTAGGCAGCCCATGTAATTTGCAAACAATATTGACAAATAAATCAGCCACCTTATATGCAGTGAAATTAGAGACCAATGCTCCCAAGTGCACATACTTGGAGAAACGGTCCACCACAACTAGCAGAACTGTAAACCCATTAGAAGCAGGTAACCCGGTGACAAAGTCAAGGGAAATGTCTTCCCAAATACGTACCGGAATGGGCAGTGGCTGGAGTAGCCCTCCTGGTTTACTTGTCACGTATTTAGTCTGTTGGCAAGTGATACATTCACGCACAAACTGTTTGATGTCTTGGCGCATTGCAGGCCAACAAAAATTAGCGGAAAGGCGCTTAAGAGTCTTGACAACCCCTGCATGGCCTCCAATAGGAGTTTCATGAAATTCCTTAAGCAGCAGGGACTTGAAACGAGATGTAGAAGGGATCCAAATGCGCCCTTTGTGCAACAATAACCCATTAGAAACAGTGTAATCCGGAGCAAGAAAGGGGTCAGCAGCAACTTGCTGACACTTAGTCTGATAGTCAACATCCGAACTCAATTCTTTTCGCAAATCATCAATGAACAAGAACTGAGGGGTGGAGAGCATATTCAACTCAGCAACAGGTGGCTCTTGACAGTGAGACAGGGCATCCGCAACAGTATTTGTCTTCCCGGGCTTGTACTGAATGTCATAATGGTACCCCAACAATTTAGATAAATAAAATTGTTGTTCTGGGGTTTGTATCACTTGGGTAAGCAACTCCTTCAAGCTACGGTGATCAGTTTGGATTATAAAGTAATGACCAAGCAAGTATTGACGCCATCTTTTCACGGCACAAGTAATGGCATGAAGCTCTCGGATATAAGTTGAAGCTTTAGAGAGACGAGGACAAAACAGCTTGTTAAAATAGGCGATAGGGTGTTCATTCTGTAACAAAACAGCCCCCATAGCGTACCCAGAAGCATCAGTTTGCACTGTAAAAGGCAATGAGAAATCCGGCAACACAAGAACCGGTGCTGTGGCAAAAGCGACCTTCAAATTATCAAAGGCCTGCTGAACAAGATCAGACCACTCAAAGGAATTCTTCTTAAGTAATGAAGTTAGAGGGTGAGCCAAAGTAGCATACCCCTTCACGAACTTCCGGTAGAAACCAGACAAACCAAGAAATCCACGCAAACTCTTCACTGATTTAGGAGTTGGCCAATCTACCACTCCTTGTACTTTAAGTGGGTCAGGTGCCACCGTGCCCTCAGAAACAATATGGCCCAAGTAAGCAATCTGTCTTTGACAGAATGAACATTTTGTGGGTTTCAAGTGAAACTTGTGATTAGCCAAGATAGTAAATACCTGTGTCAGATGATCCAAGTGTGTATCAAGTGAAGAGCTGAAGACCAGGATGTCATCAAAAAAGACGATGACAAATTTACGCAGTAACTCACGAAATATGTCGTTCATCGTAGCCTGGAATGTTGTCGGAGTGTTACACAAGCCAAACGGCATAACACGATACTCATAATGGCCATCGTGAGTGCGGAAGGCGGTCTTAAGAACATCACCTGGAGCCAAGCGTATCTGATGGAAACCCGAAGTAAGGTCTAACTTGGAAAATACCCTGGCCCTACCCAATTCATCCAATAACTCGTCGATGGTTGGCAAGGGAAAGCGGTCAGGGACTGTAATTGCATTCAAGGCACGGTAATCGACGCACATACGCCAAGAACCATCTTTCTTTTTAAGCAGAAGCACTGGAGATGAGAAGGGGCTTGTACTAGGTTGTATCCACCCTGTCTTCAGAAACTTGGCTACCTGGGATTCAATTTCTAATTTTTGGGAATGGGGGTAACGGTAGGGTCGGACGTTTACTGGTGTGGATTGAGGTAAGAGGGGGATAGTGTGGTCGGTGGGACGATATGGGGGGAGGGTGGAGGGTTCAGTGAATAGGTGGGAGTGTTTAGAGAGGAGGGAAATGAAGTCTGGGTCAAGGTGGTCTGTAGCGGGTAAAGAAGGTGAGTGAGCGGGTGTGGGTTGAGTAGGTGTATCATATGGACCGGTGATATGAAGGGAGAATAATTGGGCTTCTGGGTCAAGTCTCGTAAGCCTTTGGAAGTGATGTAGGCCCACAGTAGGAGTGGGTGAATCTCCTTTTAACTCAACACAAGTATTGTTGTGAAAAAAGGTCATAGTAAGGGAATTATAATTCATTAAAACTGGGCCTAACCCTTTCAACCATTGGGCTCCCAGCACTACATCAGCACCCCGCAAACCCAAAACAAATAGATCCATGGAAAATGAGTGGCCTTGCATTACTATTGACACCCTCTGGAAAATGTGAGAACACAACAACTCTTGGCCACTACCCACCAAAACCCTGAATGGATCGATTGGGCTCAACTTCAGGCCCAAAGCTGCAGCAATAGTCTCTTTAATGAAATTATGGGTACTACCCCCATCAACAAGAATACCCACTGGTTCCAAAGAGATCCGACCCGAAAGTCGAAAGGTGTCAGCAGCTTGGTCGCCAGAAAGAGCGTGCAAGCTCAATTGAGCGGCGTGAATCGAGGTGTCCTCTGGCATGACGCCGCCGTCAACCAAGTCAGCCACCGCTGCTTCTAAATCACCTGTCGCAGAAGAAAGATCATCATCATTAGCCACCATCAAAAAAATACGGGCACCACATTTATGCTGCTTAGACCAAGGTTGGTCACAGTTGAAACATAACCCTCTGCTACGTCGATCATCCATTTTCGCCCCAGAAAGATGCCGAAATCGAGGCTTAGCAGGTGGGATAGGAAGTAAGCCTTGAGAAGACTTCGCCGTGGAGGGAGGGTCGGAATTAAGTTTTGGTGAAGGACGAGAACCAAACGTAGAATGCCACGGTGGTGGTGATGGTCGTGGACGAGAAGAACGAGCAATGTCCTGCAATTTATCCTCCTGTAATCGTGCGAGACCGGCAGCCTGAGCAATAGTCTTTGGTTGTTGAGCCAACACTTCACGGCGAACCTCAATCTTCAACCCAGAAATGAAACAACTGAGTAAATCAGCCTGAGATAAACCCTCAAGACGGTTAGCAAGAGCTTCGAACTCGGTGAGATACGCCGTCACTGACGACGATTGGGTGAGCTTGAACAGATTGCCACGAGGATCATCAAATGCCGTTGGAGCGAAACGAATCTCCAATTTCTCCAGAAATTGATCCCACGACGCGATCTGGAGATTCCGGTACATCCACTGGTACCACGCCAACGCCGGACCATCAAGGTAAAAGGACGCAATGGTGATGCGTTCCTCATCTGGAGTTTGATGGTAGGTGAAAAACTGAGAAATCTTAAAAATCCAGCCATGTGTATCAGTACCATCAAAGCGAGGGACGTCGAGTTTGAGACGGGGACGGTGTTGCGAATCGGCGCTGGAGCGAGAACCTCCGGAATCGTCGAAGCGTTTACGCATAGCATCCAACTGAGTGGTGAGTGTGGCGACTTGACGAGTGAGATCAGCGATGGGATCTGGTGGTGGAGCCATGGAAAAAGGATGAATTCAACGCAATGAAAGCACCAAATGATAGTGCTCAGTTTTAAGGACTGAGCAAACCTCCTCAAGCAGGTATAAAGAAAGAGAAGAGAGTTTTTTTCTTAACAGTATTTCATTCATACCCTGCTTCAAGAGCAAATTACAGCATATAAAGGAAATGCAATAGAGAATCTAGTGGGAGATCTCACAGCTAAGCAAATCCTAACAAACTTGGCTGAGTCACAACCTTCTAGAAGCATACTAGAAATAAGGGAATAAAATGCAACTAGAAAAATATAGTATTCATTAATAAAGCAAATGGTCATTGTACTTAGAAGGAATCCTCTTAGTACGAGTGGGCCTAGCTTCAGTAATATTGGGCTGCAAAACAGTGGACTGCTCATTACTAATTCCACCACTAGGAGTTATATCCGTATCACAACCGCACTGTTAAGTTCAACACCCTGCATTAAAATTAGATTCGGACACAAAGATGCTTCATATCTCTTTTACAAAATGATATTGTTATTAGTAATTGCCTATATAAGGGAATACAAGGACACAACAACTTCATCATTCTATCAGCAAAACTTGTGTGAATTGATACTTTCCCTTCCTCCAACAAGATGCAAAGCAGGAATATGTATGGATATCCACAACAGCAATACTGTGATGATGACGGCTCGTGGATGGAAACAAAGGCTCAGCAGCTACAGAGCCATGGATATCCACAGACACAGCAATATCCAGGCACGAAACCAGGTTATGGCATTGATTCTGATTACTCTATGCCAAACCATCATGGCCATGACTCTAACCACAATATGTATCGTCATCAGGACAGCAAGCCTTATGGGCATGGCAATTGTCACGGTGATGGATATGGTGGTGGCAAGAATGATTATGTGTCTGAGCATAAGTATGAAGTTTACAAAGAGGAGCGTATAGCCGGTTCTGGAGTGACGAAGAGGGATGAAGTGAGATATGAGAGGCGTGGCACATATGGAGGAGATGTTTATCAGGCCAATCCATATGGATACAACAATAGCATGAATAATCCTCGTGGTCATGGAACGAAAAAAGCCAACTGGATACTAAAAGGATTCTAATATGCTTCATTACTGTTATTACTACCTATGAATCCAGTAATAATAATCGTGTGCTTTGTTTTCTATTTTCTTGTTGTAATAAGATCATGGCCCGTACGTATAATAAATGGTGCTTCATATATATGATCAATGTTATCTGTAACTCATTATGAACCTATAATAAGATATATAAAGTTGGTAAAAAAGTTTCCAAGTACATCTTTTCTTATAGATACACTCACCCACCAAAATACTAACAACGACACCACGCAAATATTGTGTTTCTGTAAGGTTTTGTTTGGGAGTTTAAAAAGAAAAGAATAGCTTTTGAAAAAAAGAAAAGAAAAAATTTAGTCAAAAGAATAGAACGATTCAAGGTTTTAGGAGATTTATTCTTATTCACAAAACAAAATTCCTTTAAGTTGAAGGAACTTAAAACTTATATTGGACGAGAAATTTAGAGAATTTAAAAGAATTAAATAAATTGTTTAAATATAATTTATTTTATTATATTATTTTAAATATTAAAAAAATATTAATATTGCAATTTTTTATCATTCTTTACAAAAAATTTTTTTTAAATGTTATATATTTTTCTATATTTTTAAAATAATTATTTTTCGAAACTCTCTCTTTCTATCTCTCTAAAACTTTGTTAGAGAATTTTGAGGAAGAAGATGACTTTCCAAAACAATTTTTTTTAAATATAAAAAAATTTAAAAATAGTTTTGTATAGAATGATAAAAGAGTATTAATCATTATTGTATATTTAATTTTTATAATACTATAATAATAAAATATATATTTAAAAAAATTTATATAAGTTCTCAAAAACCCTTCAACAATATAAATTTTGAGTTTTCTAAATTATGAGGTTTTTAGTGTTATGAATAAAAGCAAACCCTTCAAAACACTTACAATCAAAATTCTTCAATTCTTTTCACGTAATCCTTCTCTTTTTTTTTCAAAGTTTTCTCCTCTTTTCTCCTTCAAACTCTCAAACAGACTATGTGAGTTTGGAGAAGAAAGGTAGAAAAAATATTGAAAAAAATGAAGAATTGAGTGGAAAGAATTGAAGAATTTGGACGAGAGGATTTTGGATGGTTTATTTTTACATAACATTAAAAAAACTTAATTTAAGAGAATTCAAAATTTATATTGAAAGAGGATTTTAAAAACTTTTTGATAGTTTATATAAATTTTTCAAATATATTTTATATTGTTATAGTATCATGAAAATTAAAAACATAACAATAATTAATATTCTTTCATCATTCTATACCAATTTTTTTTTTAAATGTTAAATTTTTTTTATATTGTAAAAAAATTCTTTTTTAGAAGTCTTCTTTTCTTTTTTCCTATTCTCCAAACTCTCAACCAAAACCTAAATTTTCCGATATTTAAGTAAGATAAACTTTTTCAATAGTAAATAAATTAAAAAAATAGGTTTTTAACATATTGGACGTAATTTATCGTTACATAATTGATAGAATAATGTTAGTGGCATTTTTTTAATAATATCTTTTTTAATTAAATAGTCTTGGGGTTAGAATTATTCGAGGGAATGTGATAGAATGGATTTCTGAGTTCTTTAAATTTATTGGACGAGGGGATCCTTATATGGTGGAGCGTTGAGGTTTGTATAAAGGGTTACAACTGGTTAAAAATTTAAAGTTCAATAAGGTGGAAATTTGGATAGGCTCAACGGTTATGGTGCAAGATGTCAAAGGAAAGCAGAATATTCAACGCCATGGAAACAATTTGTTATCAAAGATCATTAGCTTATGTGAGTTAGATTGGGAGGTGAGTATCAGACATATCTATAGGGAATTGAATCAGCTAGTTGATGTTCTGATCGATTATAGTCTCGTTTTGAAGAAAAATTATAAGGTGTTCATGGATTGTCCAGGAGATTTTGAAAGTTTATTTCGTGTCGATAAAAATAGAATAGGTGTTCTTAGAGTTGTTGCTTTATAGTTTTTTATTTTTTTATTTTTTAGTTTTTAACTTTCTCTTCAATAAAAAAAAATCACTTTTTAAAATGTTAATTTATGGGATGTTGTGAATTCGATGTCTATTACTTTACGCAAGTAACATTTGAGATGATTTTATGAGATTTTAAACATGTTTTTTTCTAAGGTGTAATTTGAGTTTTTTTTTCTTCTCTTCTATACATCAATATTATTAAGTTTGATGGCTAAAAATTTAAGAGGATAGTTATAATATGGAATTAATAGAAGATTTTTTATGGTAACAAATTTGAATGAATGATTTGAATTTTCTGAAAATCATTAATAAATTGATCAGTAGTATTTTGGTCTTCTTCCCTCTCTCTCGCAATCCTCAATTGACATTCATGTTTAACCTTTAAAAATTATTTTATTGAGAAGTCTAAAATAATTTATTCGCGTAAAAGTTTCCAATAATTTCCTTCTCTTTTCCTTTTCCATATACCATTCTTGTCTCCAATAAGTTTATATATGAATCGTTTGTTAAAAACTATTTGATTCCAAGTGCTAAAGAGCTTAAAGAATAAATATGACCCACAAATAAGCACAAGTTTCGTATTCCCTGCAAAAACATAATTGTTCATTTTCTTAGACCATCACTAGAAATGCATAACGAATCAAATAAAATGATGGTGCCCGGTATACAACTAAGCGTAGTAGAGCATAAATTACTCAAATCAATCATATCTAAAGTGATTTGCAAAGAGGTTATTTAAAAGATTAAAGTTGAAATTGAAAAACTACTAGAAATTAAATTCTTTGAACGGTCAATTATGTTTATTGATTTTTATTATAGTTCTTATTATTAAGAAAAATGGTTTTCCAAGAGTGTATAACTTTAAACTATGTTAGAAGAGCGCGGAACAAAATGAAACACAATTGAATAAAATGGAGGAGAGTAGAATGTAATGTTAGATTTATTCATAAATCTTATGATTTCTATCAATATAGAAATTAAGAATAGAATTTTAAATAAAACTCTAAAACTCATATTTGAATACAATTATGAGAATGAAAACAGAAGCGTACTTGAATTTGTCATTGGAAATCACCCAAGGTTTGTGGGTATTTGATCTTCCCATTTATAGAATTCTTTATGCCTCCTTGATTCTCCTCTGATGGGGATGAAGAGAGAATTCTCACTAAGTCATTTTCTCGTTTTCTACAAATGGGGACCATAACCCCTATAAATAACCTTAGGGTTATTTCTTAGTTTTTAATATTCTAATTTGTCCCCTCATCAAATTAGATATTGACTTATGGTAGGTATCTTCACAATAGTATTATCTTTCATGATATTTATTCTTTTAGCCACAAACTTATTATTAATTAGATCATTATAGCTTTGACTAATTAAATAATGGCCCTAACACATGTAACATTATAATTGTGACTCAAATATTTTAACAATCTTCCACTGATCACATATGTAATCATACACATGTGTTAGACTTTATGACTTTAAAATTTGTCATTATATTTCTTGAGCATATCCAAATTATATCGTCCATTAGTCATGTCAATATATAGAATCAAGGTGATTTTCGTTATATCAATCATAGTTAAATTCGTTAATGATCACCAACAGTGACACAACTAAATGAAATAGATCTATCATGAAATGTGCAGCATGGAAATTACATGAAGTTGGTCTATATATGTCGATTTTCAATTGGTCTTACTTTACTTTAGTGAGATCATTCAATAACTTTATTGTACAGAATATAAACTGTCGAATGTCAAAACTTTAATAATTTGAAAAATATCCAAAATCATAGTATGCATACATAATACCAAAATATAGAACATAAAATTTATAATTGACTAACTCTCACTAAACCAAAGATCCTCTAATGGTAAAACACTCATGCGAGTAGTGTGCTCATGAAAGACCTTGGATGGAAGATCTTTTATAAGAGGATCTGCTATCATGGAGTTTGTCTCCAAGTGTTCTATGGAAATATGTCCACTTTGTACCCTTTCCTTAAAAAAACTAGGAACTCGTTGTCAATATGTTTTGACTTGGTCGAGCTCTTATTATTGTTGGAATACATGACGGCTGATTTATTGTCACATTATAACTTAAGTGAACTTTCAATTCCTTCCATAATTCACATCCTAGTGACAAGATTTCTCAGCCAAATCCCATGGTTGGATGTCTCATAACATGCTATAAACTTTGCTTCCATGGTGGATGAAGCCGTGGGAGTTTGCTTTGCACTGCGCCAAGAAATTGCACTACTAGCCAACATGTAGATATAGTCTGAAGTTGATCTTTTACTATCTTTGCATCCAGCAAAATCAGAGTCAGAGTATCCAGTTGTCTCCAACTGGTTTGACTTCCTATATGTGAGCATATAGTCTCTTGTTCTCTTTAAATACCTTATAACATTTTTTTGGTTGCTTTCTAATGATCCATTATTGGATTGTTCAAATATCTTATTAGCATCCATTGAGGAATGTCTTCTTGACATCCATTTGATGGAGTTCCAGATCATAATATGCAACAAGAGTTGTGATTGTTCTAAAGGAGTCTTTCAATAAAACCAGACAGAAAGTCTCTTTAAAGTCAATCGCTTCCTTTTTTAGTATAATTCTTAACCACAAGAAGAACTTTATACCTCTCTATATTACCGTTAGAATCTCGTTTGGTCTTAAAATTCCATTTGCAACCAATGGGTTCACACCTTCGGGTAATGAGACAAGTTCCCAAACTTTATTGTCTTGCATGAACTTATACTCCTCCTTCATTGCTTCAATCCACTTACCATTATTTTTCTTATGTTCTTAAAGAAAGACTATGTAATCATCCGTAATAGAATTTCTCCTTTCTCTAATGGATCTCCGCAAAGGTATTGGTTCTTGTAACACTTGTTCTTGAGGATTTTGAGTTTGTTTTTCATGAATTACCAAATCATCTTGAGTAAGAGGAAAAAAAAATGTCTTGTGGAGGTTCCATACTTGCTTGATCAAAAGCAATTGCATGAATCGGTTCTGGAATTATTATTGATT